ATACATATATACAGGGTGTCCCAAAATTTGCACATCAAAATACCGCTGTAAAGTTTTCAAAAAATTAAGGAAAAATGTTTCATATATAATTATACATAACTATATAAAAAATTAACATATTTTATATATAGTTATATGTATGATTATATTATATGATTTAGATTTATTTCAAACAGTAGTTTTTTAGTTATAAGAGCTTAAATAGCTAATTACAGATTACGTTTAGACAGTCATCCGTCTACGAATCGAGTGTGAGGTAATATTAGTAAACGCGCACTTAATCTATTCAAACGTAATCCGTAATTGACCATATTAAAACCCTTATTATTTCACAAGCTCTATTACTTAAAATGAAAATTTACAAATAATTTTTTACTTAATTTTTTGAAAACTTGTTTACTGTAACATTTTGATTCACGAATTTTGGGATAATGTATACAGAATGTTTCCAGATACTTTCGACAGTTAAAAAAAACTGAAAGATAAATATTCGTCTATTTTATACAACACGCAATAAAAAAATTTTTTTATTTCTGTTCATAAAAAAATTTTTTTTAATATTTTTTTATCGCATGCTGTAGCTTGTATAAAACAGACGAATATTCATTTTATATATTTTTCGAACTGTCGGAAGTATCTGAAAAATCGTGCGGACCGTTACGCTGAACATATGTATATATTTCGATGTAGTTTAAAGACAGCAAGAAGAGGATAAAATGATTAATTTTTCTAAAGTAATAACAGATAAGAGCCGATATGGAAATAATAAATCATCTTTTGTACGTTAATTTCAACAAAAAATAATATGTCCACAAAAATGGATAATATAATAAGAATTATGTTTTAGATGCACTCATATGTAATTTTTTAGTGTTAGTTTATCTCATTAATTAGATAGATTTCAACGATTTATTTCTATGAGTATCACTGCAAAAACATGGATATTGATGTGTTCCCTCCCAATATTCTCAGTGCCCTCCCAATATTTTTCGCAAGTTGGCGCTTATGTTGTCTTATATAAACTTTATATTTTTTTAAATTAGTTACAAAGGACTCTTACAAAATCAAAGAATAGCATAAAACCAAGGCTAATAAGAGTCAAAAATTTGACTCTTATTAACCTTGGTTTTATGCTGTTCTTTATATTTTTTAGTTGACCAGTAATTTACTCATTGCGATGATATTATCTATTACTAATTTTTTCTTATTAGGTACGAGTATATTATTTTTGTATGGTCAACTGTATGATTGAAATCGCAATTCATTCTTGTGATTTGTATTGATGTTATTTGTAATAATATAATCTAATAAAATTTTGTTTCTTCATTTTTGAAACGAATTTTTTTCGATATTTTTTATATGTACGATAGTTTATAGTATGATTCTTCTCTATAAAATATTCTCTTTTTTTACACGAGTAATTTTTCTATTATACATATACGATATAATATTCGATACACATCGGTTTAATATCAAAGTATTAGATACATACATATATTACATATATACGACAAGAAAGAATCCTAAACAATTCTAACAATTTATCCGAGAGCAGAATGTAAAAACACAGCGATTATTTATTACAATGATATAATGTAAGAGTTAGCGCTCTTCCAACACCAAGACGCATTAAATCGCGTGCTTTCGATGTTTTGGTCGAGAAAAACGAGTCGAGGGAACAATTTAATGATCATCGGTCTTTCTTTTCAGCATCTTCCCAGAAAACCTGGTCTTGCTATCGATGTGGCAAACGATACATGTGGCGGGACTCATTGAAGAAACATCTGCGGGTCGAATGCGGGAAAGATCCCACCTTCGAGTGCCCAATCTGCGGAAGGAAATTCAAGCACAAGCATCGGTGGCAGTCGCATGCCAGACTAATTCATTATATTAATATATGACCAAGTTAAGAAGTGATCGATGAATTCTGAAGCGATCGATACGCGCCAACAAAGGATGATGTTCCTGATTTTTTCTTGTGCCACGTTAACGATCGCGCCCTATGATTTATTACATTCTTTAAAACAGTTG